CCAGCCCCCCCTTGATGCCATTGAGCCTGAGCTTGTGGGATCTGGGGGGGGAGGAGGAATATGAGGGGCTGGAGAAGGTGTCTGTGGCCATTCTGGGTCCTGCCCAGGGAAACGGGGCAACAAAGCAGAGAGCAGCCCCCTGAGGGGGTAGCAGCCCTTATCACCCCCATTCTCCATGCCACCTAGGGCCTGTTCCATCTCTTATCACCCCCATTCTCCACCCCACCTGGGGCAGTAAAAAGCCTGTTGGATGGCCAGCTCTGCCTTAGCAGCTGGGAGACACTGGTCCCCAAATGGGTCCTGGCTCTGATGATCGTTAATGACGGGGCGAGTCATGTGCCTCAGCAGCACCCCAGTATGATTGGGGGCAAAGGGGGAACAGAATTTGATTGTGGTGAGGGATAAATGGGGAGAGGGGTTTAATCCTTCTACCCTTTAGCCCCTCCCTCCCCAAACAAGGAGCATGCCTCAGGGCAACAGCTCCCCTCCAGAAAGGAGATGATGCAGCAATTAAAAGCTGTGAGGAAAACTCCCAAACCTGACAGTGGCCATGGGGCCAGCCTGTTGATGACACTGAGCAAAACCCCAGTGCTTCCACTGGACAGTTAATATACTCAAGCAAAGCAGGAGCAAACTGTCTGCATTGATGCTCCAGAGTCGCTCCCCAGTCCCCGCTCGCTGTAAGGGACACAGTCCCTCAGCTCCTGGCTACGCTTATAAACTGGAGCAGCGCTGGCTTCTGGGTGCCTTAAGAAACCCCTGGCCCTGTAGCATCTGAGAGACTAGCTTGGAGAGTGTCATGAGCTTTCGTGGCACAACCCACTGCCTCAGACGACAAACACGGAGAAGGGGGCAGTGCCCACGAAAACTCGTTTTTTAAGCTTCTTTTAGGTGCAGACTAACATGACTCCCCCTGAGACTTTTAAACATGCCTTTTAAACATACAGGCTGTGTCTACACTGGCAAGATTTTGCGCAAATATTTTTAATGGAAAAGTTTTTCCGTTAAATATTTGCGCAAGAGAGAGTCTATACTGGCATGTACCTTTGCTCAAAAGATTTGCTTTTGCGCAAAAGCATCCATGCCAGTGTAGACGCTCTCTTGCACAAGAAATTAACGTTGCTGTCTACACTGGTCTCTTGCGCAAGAATACTTGCGTAAAAGGGCTTATCCCTGAGCGGGAGCGTCAGAGTATTTGTGCAAGAAGCACTGATTTAGTACATTACAATGTCAGTGTTCTTGCACTAATACTAGCGGCCAGTGTAGACAGGCGGCAAGATTTTGCCAATGTAGACACAGCCACAGTGTCTGT